CCATCTCGCTGGTCAGATGCTCTGTCGCCCCAGAGTCCATGTACCAGTGTGGATCGATGGAGTAGGACTGAGTGTGTCCCTGTTGCTTCTGCGGCGCGGGACGATCAGCCATGGCGACCTGACGGGCATTGTTGCATGTATCTTTGCCGTCATTGCCAAGACCAAGGAAGCTTCGCTGGAAGCGCTTATGACACTTGGAGGCCCAGTGCCCATCGCGGCCACAAAGCTGGCACACACATGGACCGCCAGCCCCCGGTAAGGTCGCAGTAGGTGGGGGGGCCGAGGCGGGCGACGGTGGCAGCCCCAAGGGAGACCGGGGTGATGAAGAAGAGCGGCCACCCTTGGTGGCGGCGTTGGCCGAGAGGGAGCTAGTGCCCCTGGAGCGGCGTGTCTCGACCCGTTGCTCAGTGAGAAGGAGCCGAGAGAAAACCTCGTGTGCCAGCATGGGTGTCGAGTTGCCCCGCTCGTTGATGATCTCGACTAAGGCATCATACTCCTCATCAAGACCATTGACAATAAACGAGTTGAACTCGGAGTCGGTGAGGGGCTGTCCAATGGAGGCCAATGTGTCGGCGAGGCCCTTGACCTTGTTGTAGAACTCAGTGGCAGTGGAGTCAAGCTTCTGACACTCTCCAAGCTGACGACGGAGTGCGGAGACACGAGCCTGGGACTGCGCTGCAAAGGTTCGCTCAAGGATGGTCCAGGCCTCATGAGACGTCTTCGCGAAGACAACAAGTCCGGCAACTGCCGGCGAGAGCGACCCCTGGATGGAGGAGAGGTTCGCCTGGTCCTGCCCCGTCCAGACGCGATGGGCCGGATTGTAGACCGGACCGTGCACGCTGTCTACCAGTGCGGGTGGGCAGGGAAGCGATCCGTCGACGTAGCCTAGCAGGTAGTGACTCCCCAAGAGCGGGAGAACCTGCGCACGCCAGAAGATGTAGTTGTCGGCGGAGAGCTTGATGGTGATGAGATGACCGAAGTGAAACGGCGGCGGCGAAGACGATCCCATCGAGGGGGCTGCCTGAGGTGCAAACACCATGGAGGCAGCCGGAGGCACCGAAGCCGATGCGGGAGGAGGCGGGACCGCAGCCAGGGCGGACGCCGCAAAGCTCGCGGCCGGGTCGGACGCCGCAAGGCCCGCGGCCGGGGTGGACGCCGCCAACCCCGCCAGCGGGGCGGTGTGATCCGCTTGCGGCAGGAGCGGCGGGACGACGCCCGCGGAGTCCGCAGCGGACGGCGGCGCCGCGGTGTGGACCACGAGGTCGCGCCCAAGCGAGGGCGCCGGCGGCGTGGAGTAGACGGAGCCGATGCTCCTGGTCCCGATCGGAGCCGGAACGGCGACGGCATCGAGCGGGAGGTTGAGCAGAGCCGCAAGAGAGGCCGGGAGGAACCCCGCAGCAGTGGAACCGGTGGTGGCGGCGCTCGACATGGCGGCGGTGAAGGCGGCGGCGTTTGCGGCGGCGGTGCGGGTATTAGGGTTTGGAAGCGGAAGCGATCGTAACCTAGCGTGATACCATGTAAAACAATAAGTTTTGGGGGAACCAGCACAACCCTCTAGGGGTGGCTTATCTCATTATATATAATGGATGTGTTACAATACGTACATAAGTACAGAAGCTATACATAGTCTAACATTAGTTGACCAGGCAACCTCCCCGCTGGTGCATCTGTGCATGGGCAGCATGGCGCATTGGAAGGTAGGTTGTGCAGGTGGCATGAAGGTAGGTTAGGTAGGTAGCGAGGCCAGCGGGAGGCCACTCCCCTACTATGCACGAGGCCGTGTTATTATCCAACAACAAGCCCCAAATAAGGCAAATTGAGCGAGCCAGCCCAACATTCCATGGATCCTAACATGCCATGCCCCTGGCAGAAACATTCTCAAGAACATGGCACGTTCCTCCAATTAATCGACCCCTTCCCCGTTTCATCATCATCTCTCCATCTTCCGCATGCGCGTTATAAATTCAAATCTTGATCGTATGGAGGGCACAGGAGGAGGAGGAGGAAGAAGAAGGAAGGAAGGGCGAGATCGTGTCAATTAGTTAGCCAGCCATGGCGTCGTCGTTGCCGTCTTCTTCTTGTTGGCATTCCATAGTGCTGGTAGCCATGTTGTTGGTGCTGGTCATGGATCAGATGGCCATGGCGTACATGTACGATGACATCGAGATCGTGTGGGGCGACGACCACAGCTTCTTCTACATGGACGACGCCGGCGACGACGAGGTCCTCGCGCTCTGCCTCGACCAGACCCACGGCTCGGGGTTCCACTCCAAGGAGGCGTACCTCTACGCCCGCTTCGACGTCGACCTCATGCTCGTCCCCGACAACTCCGCCGGCACGGTCACCACGCTCTACGTAAGTCCGTCGATCCATCTCCGACCGCCGCCACGCCATGTCAGGGCGCGGTCACCGTGCCCCGCGTTTACACGTTGATGCGTGCGTGCAGCTGATGCCGGAGGACGTGCCGTGGGACTACCACGACGAGGTGGACCTGGAGTTCCTGGGCAACGTGACCGGCGAGCCCTACACGCTCCACACCAACATCTTCGCCAACGGCGTGGGCAACCGCGAGGAGCAGTTCCGCCTCTGGTTCGACCCCACCGCCGACTTCCACACCTACTCCATCGACTGGAACCCCAAGCGCATCACGATCCTGGTGGACGGGGTGCCGATCCGGAGCTTCAGGAACAAGGAGGAGCACGGGGTGGCGTTCCCGACGTGGCAGAAGATGCGGCTGCACGGGAGCCTCTGGAACGCCGACGACTGGGCGACGCAGGGGGGGCGCGTCAAGACGGACTGGTCGGAGGCGCCCTTCTTCGCCCACTACCGCAACCTCCGCGTGTCCTGGTGCCGGCCGTCGCCGGGACTGGCGTGGTGCGGCGACGAGCCGCCGGAGTCGACGTGGTTCGACCGTGGCCTGGACGCGGCGGCGCTGCGGCGGGCGCGCGACGCGCACATGATCTACGACTACTGCAAGGACGTCCAGCGGTACAGGTGGTCGGGGCTCCCCAAGGAATGCACCGTGGACTAGTTGCATGATTTTTCTTTGTAGGTTTATGTCTCTGGCTATGTACATTACTTCTTCTTTTTTTGGTTCTGGTCTAGATTGAGAACTAGCTGGACTTTTTTTTTAATCTTTAGAAGTTTCATTGCAGAATATATTTATCTATAGAAATGAGAAATACATAAGAGTCGCAAAAGTTTGGCTTCTGCATTGGTCTTGAAGTAGTGACAGCAAGTAACCCAGACGATCAACAATTTAACGGCTCCCTCTTAAGCTGGTTGCTAAGTAAAAATAAATGAATGATCCTGGTGCAAATATGAATGCTGCTTGTTGTGAAGAAGGTCTTGTACATTTAACTTAAAAAAGATCAATGTAGTGGAATTGGATTTTCTCTGAATCACAGAAGTTGTATCCGATGACCCGCGGTAAGAGAAAGCCGGATTTTCGTATATTAATCTCATACCAAAGATAATATGCACTTATTAAGTTACTTTTGATGTGATTTGACATGAAAGAGAACATATATATCCAATACTAAGCACTAAACTTCCAAAATATTTCCCAAAAGGAATTATTACCTAATGAAGGGTACTTCTACCTAACTGCAACCGGTACCACTAAACTTCCAAAATTATCAGATCTATTTGATACTCCCTCCGTCCGAAAATACTTGTCATCAAAATGAATAAAAAGGGATGTATCTAGAACTAAAATACGTCTAAATACGTCTCTTTTTATCCATTTTGATGAAAAGTATTTCCGGACGGAGGGAGTACCAACCAGCATCCTCCCTGAGAAGCAAATACCGTTCGGACAAATAACTTTATTTCTGTATAAACTCATCGTTCAACTGCAACTAATGGCAAAACTCAAATAGGAGAAACAAATGGATCAGCCCTAAAACTGCAGTCCACTCGATCACAGCTCAAGATTAAATACAAAGATAAATGGAAAAAATTGAGTACCATGAGGATAAAATAGGTTCATGGCATCAGAAATGCGAAGACTCTAGTCTCTTGTCAAGCTACAAAAAACAAGCTTCCATGATCTGCCGACAGTTTAAACACATCCTTCTTCCCAAAGGCCAAAGAACCTGCATAAAGCTACAATGTACCACCACCTATAAACACAATTATGGGCACCGACACTAAAAATGCAGAGCATATCAATGTCCAAATCTGAGAAATTATTCAAAGCAGATCCAACTTTTCATGCCAATGCTGAAGAAATCGAGCTCTTAGCGAGCTAATGCCAGTGGCAACCAAGGATCAATGGAATGTTGTTGATCAGCCAAGGAATTTTCTTTCGGAAATGTTGTTGCATATGCACGAGAAAATGCCATGCGCGGAGTACACTGTATAGCCCAAAATAGGGAGCATCTGAGGTTTCTGTAGAGCCAAAAAATGGAACCAATGAGCCTGAAGAATGAAAATCCAGTTCCAGCCAGGCCTGTGAAACCACTTGACAATCCTTGGCCCTTTGTTCAGCTTCATCTTTCTTCTCGACTTCTTCATGTCTTCTTCTCTTCAGCATCTCCACCTGTTCAGACAACGTATGTTCGCACAAGAGGCCGGCAACAAGAAGAAAACCTACAGTGCCACACATACAGATACAGGGACGGAGAGGGCAACAGTGAGTGAGGGCAACATGATTGAATTAGTAATAGTCAGTCCACAAGAGCACAATCCAGCATTTACAGCTCAAGACAGCAAGCAATACATGAGAGCCCGCTGAGGACTGCTATTCAGCACCAGTTTCTCAGATGTTCATTTGTATGTGTCCAGCAACAGCTATTGAAAGAAGGAAAGAGAACGCTTCCAGATCTCTATCGACATTCGGGTCCATTTGACCTCGCCAAAAAGCATCATCGCCCGCGCACCGCCCGCAAGCATCAGGGCACCATTCGTCGCCCACTGGATTCCGCAGTCTAAAATGGACGCCAGTGGCTGGAGGAGGAGGACTGACAGAGCGACGCCCAGGTGGCCCGGTGCCTTCGCTAGTTCTTCCGGCGCTTGTCCCTGGGGGAGACCATGGCGGTCGACTCCGACACGTCCTGCAGCTCAAGCATCGACTGCGATCTCGTGTGGGCCGGGAACAGCAGCTTCGGTGGACGAGGAGCAGGCGGGGAAGCATAGGCGCCCACGGCGTTGCCAGGCTTCCTGTGCGATCGTCGGGAAGGCAGCTTCTGAGCTTCATCGTCGCTGCCGCTGTTGCTCCCTGAGCTGCTTGTGGCGGCCGGAGACAATGTCATCCTCCTGCAAGTCGTGGGGCTGTCCGCTACATCATCTTCAGGGTACACCTCTTTGCTCTGTGCTTTGCCCCACTTGAAACTGAATGGGAGAAGACCTTTGCGCTTCCTGGGGGATGGGGTTTCTGGCTTCGGAAGGCCCTTCACCGGTGGGGGAGATGGGATCACAGCAACTGGAGGCTTCGTGAAAGATCCGGACTTGCCATTGTAGAACTTGGATACCCCTTTCCTGCCATACAGAAGAAGATTGCTCAGCAAAGTGGAAGATCTGTAAATATCATGAAGCATAAAGTCTCTCGACTAAGATATTATCTGATAAGTGCAAGAATTTATAGACAAGAACAATCTCCAGGCTGCTCACGGGTAACAAAAAGACAAAATTAAGTTGCCAGATCAACAACATAGACAAATCACTGAATATTCTAATGACACAGTTCAACAAATACTTAACATATACAATGAGCTACCTGACAAAAGCATGTGAAAGAAGATCGTGCTATATGTTTAATGATCGCGTTACTGTGTTAAGATACATCGAATTGCGCCCTGTTTCCACATGACTTGATCACCACCTTGATCCTACAGCATCTACGCACATTTTCTGATGGCAAGAGCCAACAAGTACCATTAAACTAGTAAATAAGCGTACCAAGATCATAGTACGGTAGAAAATTAAAAAGAAACTAAGGCTGATCCATAGATTACATGCTAAAAGTTAGTGCGCCCATTTTTTGCCCTCAGAGACTTAAGAGTAAAAATATGATAAGCATCCTGATATGATAAATGACAGCATTCAGGTTTATGTATACACAAACAGAGGAATGATTCATATTCAGATGGTTAATTGAAAGTATAGCAACCACCGACATCACTGTATCAGAGAGCTGTGTCTACCATTTGTAAGTATCAATAAGTAATGCTGTGGGGTTTCCGAAAACCAGTATTATTGACCTTTTCATATAATTGATCGCAGTGGTGTTATGAATAAACTGCAGAATGGATGGTGCATTACTTTTGGCAAAGTTGAATGCATGTACGGGATTGAGTTACTAACAGAGCAAATTTCATTACTAAAACGAGCATCCATTTTGACGACACAACACATTCGTAAATCTACAAGAGCATGATGTGTATGATGTCACGTCACATAAGCATAATTACCACAGCTTTCCAGCAAACTACTAATGGGACTGAACATAACACTGGGCAGGACACTAACCAGGCCAACCTACTACACTACACAGACACCTGATAATACTATTCACATTCAGCAGTACTGCCACTTATATGCTACAGCTAATTAAATACACAATGAACAGCCATGAACTATGAAGAACTGGAGATTCAATCTTTCTGTAGAGTTTGGACAAACACATATGAACTTAATTAGATAAAACCAGTGTCAGCTTTCCTAAGACAAGTACTCCCTCCGTTCCAAAATAGATGACCCAACTTTGTACTAAGGTTAGTACAAAGTTGGATCATCTATTTTGGAACGGAGGGAGTATCACCAAAGCATACACAAAAAGTATCCAAAGCAATAAGCATCAAAACATTACTACACACAAAATATCCTGTGTATTCACTGAAACCTTTGAATCTCACACTGTCCCAACGTGACAAGTGAAAAGAAACTCAGCATTCACAAATTAGTTCAATTAAAGCCATTAATGCCGGTGAAATTATGTACTGGTTCAAGGACCAAAGAGCACACATGGTGCGGTGCCGTTGGTCGTAATGAACACCACCTACAATGTCAGACCCTAATCTCCCCAACCACATTGGTTGCAAAGGGCCAAGGCACCACCAAGAACCACCCAGAACGCCAAACGAGCTCAGATTATCCACCTGTTCATTCCAAGACCGACAAAGAAATCCCCGAATTCGCTAAAAGAGGCACCGACCCGAGGATCGGGAACTAAATTACCTCGCTGAAATCACTTCGAGACCACCCAAGAAGAAACGGAGAACTAATAAGAACCTAACGCGCATTCCCCGACTAATAAAACCGATCAAGAACCGTCGCGTCGGTCCGGACGGCCCAAGAAACCTCCAGCATTTCCGCACGGGGAACACGCGGGGCGGGACCAAGAACGGCCGCGTCCGCCCACATTACCCACGAATCGCCCGACGGGGCGGCCAAGAAACGCCGGCCGCCGACCGAGACCCAAGATCCGCGCTCCTTGGCGAGCCTGGGGGGGAGGGGGGGAAACGGGGAAGCGGGGGAGGGCGCTCACCTGAAGGGCAGGGCCTCGTTGAGCGCGTCCATGGTGTCGAAGGGCCCCTTGTAGTTGCTCTGCACCTCGCCGTCGCCGCCCTCGACCTCCTCGCCGTCCCACTCCCACTGCGCCGCCGCCGCCGGGCTGTCGCTGTCCCGGCCCCCCGACGAGCCGCCGCGCCCGCCCGAGGCCGGCGGCGAGGCGTAGGCGCCGCAGCGGGCGGCGCGGCCGAACCGGGCGCCCCCGCCGCCGGCTAGCCCGGGCCCGCTCTTCAGCGCGATCGACATGGCCCCGCGCCGCGCTCCGCTGCTCTGCTCTTCCGCCCCTCCGCTCCGCTCCGCTCACATGCAACGGAAGCCGCCTCCTTTTTTTTTCTCTCGCTCGCACGCGCACGCCGCACGCTGCAGGCTGCACGCTCACCGAAAAAGGGTACTGTAGTGAGGACCGGGGGAGAGGGTTGGTTCCCTTTTTTTATGGGGTGGAGGGGGTTGGGAGTATTTATTTAGCACCCAAAAGAGGCTTTTTCTTCTTCTACTTTTTTCTATAATTTTTTTGTTTCCACATGAGTTCTTTCTTTTTGGAATAAGGTTTCTACATGAGCTTGCAGATCCCCACGCACAAATGCTGAATTGAAATCTCAGTCGACTTAGACTTGGCTGCGAGAAAGAGGGAAAATCTTAGTCGGCTCAAAATTAGTTGCGGGACATATGGAGAAATCTTAATCGGCTTAAAATTAGCTGCACGCGAGAGAAAATGTATGATGTGTGGTATTTATTTATGAATGTAGTAGGGGCAATATTGTAATAATGCATTCCATTTTGCTTCATGGTAGGTTAGTACACGTATTATACATCGTATAATTTACCGCGGGTAGAGTACTTTGCTGCAAAGTTTCTACGAACCCACGCATCTACATGACGAAGTGGTTACTCAATTTTCGACTATCTTTGCCTGCATATGTGTGCAACCATCCAGCCTCGCTCGACAGCCTCTAGACATGTTCTTATATACTATCGACGAAAACATTCTCCTTCTTTGCCGTGATGTCAATATTTGTTCATATCTCATCTCCTCTACCCCTAAATTAAATATCATTACATCAACCATGCTCGAGCCTCCACCAACAAATTGATGGACGATGCCACATATCCATTTTTATCCATTTTTCTGACAAGTATTTCCGAACAGAGGAAGTACATTGTAGCGAGGTATGAACTAAGGAACCTGGCTAGAAAAAAGTATAAGAGGGGGACAAGAACGTTTGGTCCATGGATGTATATACACCCTATATAGAAAAATAATAATTAAATGAAAATTCAAAAAAGTATTTTTGAAATAAACTTGACCTTCCATTGTATTTGTAAGAAATCCACAAAAAGAAAAAAAATCATTGACTTCTTTTTAAAAAATACAAAAAATTCGGCCAAAATAGCAATAAATTTTGTTTTCTTACTTTAAAGTCAACCCTGGCTTTTATTCCTTAAAAGATACTCCCTCCGTCCGGAAATACTTGTCATTGAAATGGATGTATCTAGATGTATTTTAGTTCTAGATACATTCATTTTCATCCATTTTAATGACAAGTAATTCTGGACGGAGGGAGTATATAATACTCCCTCGGTCTCATAATGTAAGATGCTTCTTGACACTACACTAATGCCAAAAAATGTCTTACATTATGCGACAGAAAGAGGAGTGCAAAAGAGAGTCATGTTTATTAAAAAAAACTTCTAAACTTTCTTTTTCTTTTTCTTTTAAAATTTTCTCATATCAGATGTATATAAACCGAGGAACCAAAGGGCATTTTCCATAAGAGCGGTGCTATTTAGCCGTGATACTCTTGTTTCAGAACTGAGATGTGAGGGGGTGCTCACTTTTATTGATTGAAGCAGATGGTACCGTGTCCAATTTTTTGTACAAGAAGACCCCCTGCATGAGTTAAAATTGCATCGAAATACCTGCATCCATTCCACATGAATAAGCAATCCATGTCGTGTGAACAAACCGTGCAAGTGGTGTGTGGGTAGAGCAAAACACCAGATTAGAACAAATACAATAGATGAGTACGAACCACCTGAAAATGTGAAGGGAAAAGCAGTGCGTGCTTTCTAAAAGAAGAGGAGTTGGTTCAAAGACAACTGGACATGGCCCCATCTTCTCTAATGCAGCTAGGATTTTGCCAAAATGGATGGTGTAGTGTACCTGCTCGCTGCTTCACATTTATTGAGCGCCCATTATCTTGGAAATGGGACATGCAATAATGTCATGTTGCATACATGCACACTACGTGTATGGTGTGCACTAAACGTTTGGCTATGTTCACATCCAAAAAAATAAGTTTGGATGTATATTACAGTGACGCTGCATGCGCTTTTTTTATAAGGAAAATGTTGTTGAGACCCGGAGCCTTACAGATAATAGCACAACACACACAACACGAATAAACGCAACAAATGGTGGGCACAACTGCCCGAAGATGAAACATCGATGGACATCGAGTTGACCTCACGCGGGACGACAAGCACAGGCGCCTCACCTCGCAAAGCAAAACCTTAGACATTGCAGGATGCAAGGTGTCAGACGGGATCGCCAAAGAAGACGTGGCGTGAGATATGACATCCACGCCGCTTAACATAGTCATAGCTTGCATAATCCTGCTCACATCACCGCCACCATGTCGATGTCGCTACCGGGGAGGGGAACTCCATCCCCTCTCACCCAAGCCCGAGGGGACATGGATTGCCATGAACATGCAACACCATTGTAGAACACACCAACAACCACCCACACCAGGGTCTGGATCACCAGCCCACCATGGAGCGGCCAAAAACCTCGCAGCCGCCATCTTCCTTGGCAACCGTACGGGCTTGCCCGACGACCGCCTCTTCAATAAAGAAGTATATTTGTCCTAGTTACTTCAGACGCCCACGATGAGTAGACAACATTGCATTGACCATATAACATCACAAAATAATGTACATTGTGCGAAAGGATCAACCACGTGTTTAAGATAAAAACAAGACAAGAGCACACATGATCTTCTTCTTCTCCATCGTCCACTATGTGACCTCCGGCGAGGTCGACTCCTTCGGTCGGCTTCGCCTTTATCAGCTTTCTATTCGCTCCAACTCATACGTCGACGGGCAGGAAGAATAAGCACACGAAGATGTTGAGCCATGCCATAGCAGAGTGAAAATCGTGCCGGACTTCAAGGCTTTTGCAGGCAACCGTGCAAAAGCAAAAAAAATAAAAAAATCATATGTTTGGACATGAAAACATGGCAGTAGATGGTACAGTACCTTCACTGTTTTATCAAGAGATCGACTCGAGGTAGTACTCTCTGCCTCCTAAAATAAATGTCTCAAAATTAGTACAACTTTATACTAAAGTTAGTATAAAGTTAAGACATTTATTTTGAAACGAAAGGAGCAATAATCAGTAATCGAAAAACAAAACTCTAGATCATGTACCACTCAGCAGGGATGCGTACGCACGTATGCGATCACATCACTTGGAAAAATCGTATCCGTTTTTGCTCATCGTACCAGATCGACCCAATTAAGAGCAACCCTAGCGGATTTTCTGTCGACTACGAGGCGTCTAAGGTAACTTCGTAAAATTTCAAGTTGATATGCCGGCTCAGTCTCTCGAAAATGCTCATAGGGCTAGGTTATGCGTGTGTGCATTTATAAGGGTGAGTGTATGCACATATATATGAGCGTTTGCGGCTGTACCGTGTTAAAATAAAAGCAACCCTACCAGATTTGCTATATGGTTTCGATCACTATAATAACCATAATATCGTGTTTTTGTTTAAAATCGCACTCTAGCATAGTCTTTATATGGCTTCCGAGCGTCATAATTTGTGGAGCCCGCTTTATAAATGACATTGCAACCTTTGTATTTGGAGACTAGGAGAAATCTTGATCCGAGGAAAGAATACGATCAACACCAAAAAACTTGAATTGAGTCCACTGGAAAAAGAAAAGGGGTGAAGAATGACGAACGAGATGAGAATTCACCGGTTGAAATAATTGACGAAAGACTGAAGGGTTCCGCATGAATTAAATAGATTGTCGAGAGAGACTCAGACTCCGAGAAGAAAAGGGTGGGAGGGCAGGAAAACAAAGGCCACTTAGAAGGGGAACCGATGAATAACTTGAAGAGAAAACACCGGTTGAAATCATTGAGGAAAGAAAGCAAAGACTTCGCACGAGTAGGATGGATACTCGATTACAGACTCCGGCTTCGAGATGAAAAAGGGAGGGCGGGTGGGAAAAGAAAACAACCGAGGATTGAACTTGGCAACGATGAAGAGGCTCGAGTCAACTTGACGAGAAATGCACCGGATGAAAAGAGCTGAGAACCAACGATCGGAAAACCAACTGCGTGATCCTAAAGAAAAATTTGAAGGGGAAGAGGAGTGATTCAAAACACCTACGTCAAGATTCCTTACTAGAGCAACGAAGGGGCTGAGGAATAAAAAGAATTCCCACTGTCCGATATAACTAGACTCCGAAAACAGTTTTCTTCTAGACTCGACAATGGCCAAACTACACGATCAATCAAGGGGGCTCCTAGGGTCGGTCGAGGCTATGATACCAACTTGTCACGCCCAATATGCGATACTATCCTAAAGAGACTCGAAGGTCCCACCAAGGATAGAACCGCATATTGAAACGCTTTTGCAAGGTGGATATCATTACATCAACATTACATAATAGATATAAAAAGGCATACAATGCCACCCGAATACAACATCATCTTACATAAGAGCATCATCCGACTACGGATGAAACACAAACAGAAACTCAAACGACATCCACCCTGCTAGCCCAGGCTGCCAACCTGGAACCTATCCCCTGATCGAAGAAGAAGCAGAAGAAGAACTCCAAAGCAAGTAAACATCGCTCTCGCATCATGATCATCACATAACCTGTACCTGCAACTGTTGTTGTAGTAATCTGTGAGCCATGAGGACTCAGCAATCCCATTACCATGGGTATCAAGACTAGCAAAGCTTAATGGGAATGGAAAGGGTAAGTGGTGAGGTTGCAGCAGCGACTAAGCATGATATGGTGGCTAACATACGCAAATAAGAGCGAGAAGAGAAGCAAAGGAATGGTCGTGAATCTAGCAATGATCAAGAAGTGATCCTGAACTCCTACTTACGTAAACATAACCCAAAACCGTGTTCACTTCCCGGACTCCGCCGAAAAGAGACCATCACGGCTACACACGCAGTTTATGCGTTTTAATTCGGATCTGGTGTCAAGTTATCTACAAC